TCACGCATTTGTTATTCAAGCAAGTATTCGAAACAAATTTCGGGCTTCCTTCAAAATTAAAAATACTTTAACGAATATTTCTGAATCTCAATTTGAAATATAGTCAGGCAGCTCGGATCCGTTGGTACTACAAGTTTATGCTTAAACAACCATACCTATTTCCCACTGGCTTATCCTCAATCAAAACTATAACTTGTTATCTATAATGGTTTCAGGATATCCTAATAAGGCATTGTCATGACTTGACAATTACGTAATATGATTGACAAAAGTGATGGAACTATTAACAAAATTGGTCAACAAATCGAGTCCTAACTATCACTAAACGGTGTTTTCGCGTTATCTTCATCCATTATAGATGATTACAGTATATTTCTCTATGGGTTGCTCATGCAGTAAATATCGTAGAATCTTGTAAGTATAATTGGAGGTTTATTGACACAATCACGCATGCAAATCATCAGTATAAGCAGTCGAGCAAATCTCCTGCAAACTGAAATCATCACTGTCGTATTTACCCCAACTCTGATTATGGTTCAAGCCTTTATCATAGACATGAGTTAGAAGTTATATCCTCTTAGTTACAACTTATATTCTCACTGATAATCACATGAGCATCATTCACTTTATCATATTTAACCGAAAACATCATGCAACACCTCGTCATCTATATTTGTGGCACATGGGCTTTGCTCATTTCAACAACTTTTAATCACTATATTTAAAATAATTCGTTTTCTACCTTATGCTGAAACCTATACTTGCAACTAACTTGAATGCATCATCAGCCGGTAAATATGTATATAATTATTTGGTTTGTTGTACAATAAAGCATTTACTCTAGGGAATGTCTCTTACGAATACACTCACGTTTAACTAATTTCTCTTAGGTACTTTTTTCAAAATTCACATAATTATAACTTTTCACGTATTGAAGGAATTTTCGATGGGCATTTATATGTATTGGTGGTTTTATTATATCCTATCACGGTCAAACAATAAAGAGGTCGAGATCTATAGATAAGGTGTATCAAACTTAGAAAAATAACTGCAACACCAGTTGGAATCCTACCTCTCTACAGCTATACTTTTGTTCCCCCGGTAAGCCTACTGATGCAGTTGCAACTGAATATTAACGCATACGGACAGCATACCAGCATTAACTAACTTTCTTACTTAAGTTTAAGATAATATCAATATTAACGACTTTACAGTATCGATTATTTTCCCATATATATGTACAAAATCCTTGTAATGCCCATAGGATAAGCTACTAACCAACGGTTACTCACGTGCATATCAATGTGATTTGTTAAAATATATCTATACTAAATCATTCTTCATTATTATAATCCCAACTTGTTCAACTCTCAGAAAAATCTCTACGTGAAATTTCGTTTTAAGCAAGTTAAGAATTCAACCAAACATTTTGAAATTATGATATGAAATCGCCGATCACTTGATGCTGCTTTCTTTTTGATTTGTCTTTCAGTTTACCCATACCCGGAGGATTCATATTATTCTTTTGTCAACATCTAGCGCGCGAAAACCTAATAGACTTCGTTGATTATGGTGGTAGACTAGTGTGGTATTGGTTCTACTCGCACGACCTTTGAAGCCGAACACAAGATAACTGTTAAAATTGATACACAACATTCAATACAAATAGTTCACAGGCAGTGGACGCAAGAGCATTTGATCAGGATGGTATGGCTCAGCCACGTAGGCGTGATCACTTTACGTAACCGCTTGCACCTCGTGTTGGATTTATTGCTCTCTCCTTACCCCTAATGTGTTCTTCAGAAATGCTAGGTGTCATATATTTGATAGTCAGATCATGGCAAATCTACTAATTTGGGACTAGGTCTATGATTATAGTAGCAAAGTAAAATGTACTAAAATTGAACTAGACCAGAATAACACAAAACAACAGCACTTAAACACCTGACAATTTTAATCTGTTGACGTTTACCCAACCCTTTGCTGTTAACGATTTGAAATAAATGATTGATTACTTTTGATGGCCTGCATTACGTTAGACTAACCTCTCAACAGCCGTGTAAAACACTGGACAATTTCCATCACTCAGGCTTTTCCCGAGTAATGTTTTACCCTACGTTTTAACTGATTGACAGAAAACTCGAAATTTTCTACATATCTGAACAAATGTTTGATGTATCTATATCACAGAAGACGTAAATTGCGGTATCATATATTAGGTGCCTGGATAAAACATTTTTTCTCTTTTTTTCTTTATGAGTATTTTTTATGAGTAGTTTATGACCCAATGCTCCTCAAATATTCAAAATGATGCGACGTCTGTTTTGTCAAAATTGCCATGTTTAATATATGAAACTTTTGACTGTCGTTGGTAAGGGCTTCGAATAAAACATCACCACTCTATTTTATTATAGATTATTATCTTCAGCAAATAAATCAACCACAAATGCTTCCGTTCAGTTTAAGTAAATAAAATTGTTAAGAGGAAGATTTCTGACGAACTGTCTTTATTCCTGTTTTAGTGACAGTACGTTTCTTCTTCATGAGACTGATGAATGCCAGATGTTTAGAGTTTTGATAGATTGGTACCGGGAATAAAGAAGACAGCACTCCACTCCTCAATAGTTGCTGGGATTCAACAGACAAGCAGACAGTAACTATAATGTGTTGATCAATAGACGGAGTGCAAACACAGAATCAAAAATAACCTAAACAGTTTGGTCGTCACAAAGTGGAAGTATCAATGAGAGATAGAGCAAGAGCTTATAAGTTGTTTACTCTCAGGATCGACCATTTCATTGAACAACGGCCAACGCAAAATAACTAAGCCAGCGGAGAAACGATACAACCTAACAAACGATGGTAATTTCAGACCTCCAACTCCACCGGCATTCCACAAGAAAAATGTCATTTTGCTATTTCCAGGCCCAAGTCCGTTTACTTAAACTGCTACTAAATTTATTATAACTTTTAAAAATATCAGAGATCGAAGGTTTTGTGTTACTTCGTATATACCCCTTTTTTCTTTACATTATCTAGATGTTAAGCGTCTAGAAGACTTAACTGTAAGTTCAGTTAGTAGACATGCCGTAAACAGAAAACTGACCTCAGTAACTCAGAACACAATTACCATCATATTTAAAATGATACAAGGTTAGTAAAACTGTGCGTTTTCGCCACCATACACCATATCTTGAACAATAACTCAATTATCCTGAATCATATTGTTGTACCACATTACAATCCAGAAAAAGTGCCAACTGGTGAGGCCCTTTACCTGCCGACCATAAAACGTTCATTCAGCATCAAAACGAAGTGCGAATTCATTAACTACCGTCGATAAGCAAACACAGAAAGCAGATTTATTCAGCAATGACAAGTTTCAATTACTAGTAAAATAAAAGTATTCTAGTCATAATATTAACCAATCTTATTTATATTGCAACGTCTTTTGTGCATTCCTCGTCAGTCACAGTGACTTTTGGAATAAGCCACTAGTTTTTAAGATCTGGATATAACAAGGCAACAACCAGATTCAAAAGTATAAAATTGGAGCCAAAAGATTAAATGTTACTACGATCAACCGAAACAAGTGAAGTCAACACCACCCTCATCGATACTTTGAAGCTCATTTTTATTGAATACTCAAATAATCAAAACCTGATTCACGACGATAGCCACGAAATGAATTTCAACTCCCTCTAAACAAAAGTACAGAATGTTTGTACCATGAAGCGTCAGTTTAACGTTCAGCTGGCTATTATCGTGTCAGCTGGTGCAGAATTTAGCCGGAAGTGATTGATGCAGAAGCTGATTTTCTGTTTTTTTCACGAACATTTAGTAACGTCGTGACCAATCTCTGTGTGTCAGTTGGAGAAAGCGAATTGAACAAGTAAGGGGCAGAAATGCTTCCAGAGAAAGAGACCTTTGGTGTCAATATGTCGCATGAATTAGTACGTTCGTTTTAAATTCAGGTTGTCCATAGAATATACGGTGAGGCAGTAGTTACAGGCTCCGCAAACTCCCTTAGTTTTATGATGTTCCATCGACTGAGCACAGTTCATGGATCGTGGTTAAATCAGAATATCGTGGCTAGTAACTGGTTGTGATATAATTCCGTTATGTGCGTCAATTTCTTCTGGTTAGAGCGATTAGTAGACGGAACTGTGGATGGTGTTCTTTATCATGCGATGGTCTTCAGTACATCATTCAAGACAGTCGGCCTCTGCAAATTCAATTACACTCTAAAATATGCAATAAAAAGATTAAAAGCGTTCGGCGAAACTTTTTTCTGAGATGTATTATTCAAGAAAGTGCACGTTGACAACTTAATTGTTACCACTTGTGATCAACAGTCCCGTAAGTGTTATTTGTGACATCTTAAAACGGACAAAGGTATATACATAGGGTATATAACAGAGTAAATCTGCTTGAATTTCTAAACGTTAGCCACGTAGAAGCTACAATAAGTTCAAAGAGCTCAAGGCCATCTAGTAGTACCCTACATTAAACTCTATCTTGAAACATTTCTGACTTTTGATTTGACTAGGTGGGTATATTTCGATTATAGAGGGTGTTGCTGTTTAAGACACTGTCAAACTAAAAATACTGGTGGTCTCCCTACACATATATCTTGTAGTAATCATTAAAACTAACGACATTCAGTGTGCACAAGATAACTTACTTCTGTGGGTTACTCACCGTTAAATTTTCCCGAGGACTAAGAAGTACATTTTATTCTATGGCTTCAATAAATCATTGATAAAGAGACTATGACTGTGTCAAATTTGTCACATAGAATTGACAAATCCATATGGTGCAATGAATAGTGAAGTGTGAATTCGAACTTATGAGTTGATATAAAAATGTGGGTCATCTAGATTAATAAATCCAGTTGCACAGTATGTCAAACAGAACATGAGCAGTTACAATCCAAGCAAAATGATGTAATATTACTTCTTATCGGTTTTAAACTGTCTTGAATGTCGTTCATAGTGGACATAGAATAGCGCGGCTTTAAAACGTGTCGCATCTAGCTCATTTGGAATACGCACTGGTTCAGCGATCAGGTTGTCTAAGCCTCACGCTTATTATATTTGCAAATTGCTCTTGATTTCTCTCATCATTGAATGTAAGCGCATTTTCAGTCGTTGGCTCACTTTATTTCGTTGTTTTCTCTTCCAAATTTTCTCACTAATATAGTAAAAGTACCTTCGTGCCAGAGGTGAATATACTGGAGGCTTGAAGTCGCACGTATTTTGGTCACATGTTGAAGCAGAAAGAAGATGTACTTCTCATGGTTAAGCATGTACGGTATAAGAAAGTAGATGGGACCCTGTATGTTAACTCAGGAAGAGTGGCTTGGCGTAACCAAACATCTGATAGTTTTCGCATCAGTGCGAAATTTGAAGATATTAGAATACAGCGTATTAGTCCGGACCAAAAGGAAAAAGTCCAGCTCCAGTTATTAATGCATAGTGGGGAGTCTTTCACTTTCCAGTTTTCGGATCCTGGAGGCAGGGAGAAGCAGCTTGAAATGCGTAACAACGTGAAAGCAATGCTACAAAACTTGCTACCCAAATTTAAAGACAAGGTTCGTTTGGTTTCCGTCGTGTGCCTTTTTTCTAGGTCCTGGTACAATAATTAGTAGCTTCAATAGCCATGGTTCCTCATTACATGTTACTTGGTTTACCATAGATCCGATAGTTTAGTTCAGATATAGATTTCACCCTTTTAAACTGTGAAAACCAGTCTCACTTCTACGGAAGTTATTGTGTCAGTATTTATCCTTGTTAAAGACTATGAAAGACAAAGTTCTATAATTGAGTCGTGGGAATCTTTGCCGTCACTTTATGATTCGTTTTAGAATACGTTGTCAGCACTAGAATAGTTCTATCTAATGTGAAGTTAATTTAAAGTCTGAAAGTCAAAGACTTCAAATGGTATAGTTCACCATAGTACAATTGGAGTTTGTTAAAGAAAGAATTCACCAAACATATCTTAGTTGTTTGCTTTGGGTTTGAAATGTGTGAACAGAATATAGTCGGTGAAGGGATCAATTACCTTTCTAGTAATTCTTTTGTTTCTAGCATTAACTGATTAGCAAGTATCAGCTAACTCGCCAAGTCGGCCTAAAGTTGCTAGATTTTTTATTTCCCGCTGTCAGCATTAATATTAATATCTGAAAGAACTTATTAAGTCTTAACTGCTACTCACCAATCATGGTTTAAAAAAAAACAGCTAATAAATAACCTGATTACATATTACTGATTGTTTGTTAGGCTAATAAAGGTCCCTTGCAACACATGTGAACCGCCACTTATATCAAATTATCAACTACTCATCTCAAAAGAAACACCCAAGTGTATGCTGCAAACTCCACCAGTAGTCTGCAATTTCACATGGTGATTCTGTTTTCTAGGACATATTGTGGTTTATCTAATTTCCAGGATCAGTGTCTGTATGTGCTGAGCATATCTTGTCTAATTGATCTGATAGTAAGTCTATAACAACTTGCTTAACTATTTTGCTGAAATCTATACTGAACTTCGGAATTCTTCAAAAGTCCTAATGCTTATAAACATGAGTCTCAACATTTGAAGAATGTTTTCCACCTAACTCCACTGGCCGTTTGATATACGTACAGTAGTATAGAACAATTCACTCCTGAGACCGGCTGATTTGTCCATATATGTGTTGGTTCTTTTTAAAACAGATTGTTAGGGTTTGCTGTGCAACGCGTCGCTTTAGAAGTTTTTTAATGAGAAGTTGGAGAAATACTAACAATAATTTTCGCATGGTGAACTGGACCGGAAATCTTTAGAGTTCTGCGTGAAAGCGACTCTGGTCGACATCTCTACGTGTAAGTTGATTGGTGCCCCCGATCATCAGTAAATTTTACTTGTTGACTATACAACATCCGGTAATCCTGTTGCACAACATACATGATTAACGGCTTAACTGAAAACAAACCATGCAACAGTAATGTTACAGAGTTATCGTAATTCGAATTAACGTTATCCTCCTGTCTAGATACACTGATTCTGCATCTGGTTTTAAGGCATTTTGTTGTTAGTTCCATTCCATATCCGCGAACAAAACTTCAAGATTATTTTAAGTTAATTCGCTATAAGCTTCGTTCAAGATGATGGCTAGTTTCCTCTGGTTCAAATTGTTTCTAAGGGTTCAGTGGATTAAATCATTTCACGTCTTGAAATAAAACTGATGGATCACTATGCCATTTAAGTAGGATGTTGGTTTGGTTTTCCGCAATCTGGTCGAATAGTCTAGGTAATTCGTTTTCAATTAATTAACTGTTTTGGAGTCCTCTTCGCTTCTTTGGGCTTCCGTCACCGGGTGAAACATGAAATCCGGTACATATGGTTAACAAAAGTATATAAATTATGGCACCAAGAATTCATCAAATAGAATAATCGTGTGAACGAATGGAGAAAAAAGGATCCTGTATCGTGGACAAAAGTTGTGAATAATACCTTCCACTTATGAGTATACAATAATAAAATTTCATTTCTCCTAAAGAATATGTCGTATAGAACAGCAATAAACCCACTATACTATTTCCACTAACTTCTGATTTAAAGCGTGTGATTAAAATTCAAACCAAACTAGATGATATGAAGCATTTCATCTAGTCATTCGTATTGCTCCAACTCATACTAATTCAACCACCTCCCACTAACATATGAATTCAACAAGTCATAGGTATCTTGGACAGTAAACAGCTGTGGTTGTTGTTATGCCGAATGGGTAACTCGGTCAAGGTTTGAAAACTGAAAATCTTGTTTCTCTAGGTTTCACTTTAAACCGGTTGTCTCCAAAAAAGAAAGAATGAAGGAACTACTATTGTGACAGAGCTAATAAAAGTGATGGTTGATCGTTTGATGAACTTAATTTTTATCCTTAAATGATACTGTTTTGGCTGTTTTTCAAATGTAAATAGTGGTTTTTATTTGGTATTATGTTTCCATACACAATCACTCGATAGATGATTATATCTTGAAATCTCGATAGGAATGTTAATTTTCTCGCACCACGTACATTATCAGTTCGACAGTATCAGCTACAAATTTATTAATTCAACACTTACAACAGGACACCAAAAAAGTATGTGGCATACAAGTGGAAAAATGGTGTTGTGAAAAAGTTTTTCTATGGACAAAAGATCCGCACAACCTCCATGTTTTCTTCTCATAGCTGTTTCTAGTATGTCATTTATGGCAGTTGGAGAAAAGTGGTGAAAAGTAAATTCAGTCAGTTGACCCGTCATAATCATGTACATATTGACCACTTACATTTTACTGTAACTCGAAATATGAAGATGATGATTCAAGTCTTAAAGTATGAAAATTCGTATCCATCATTTTTTTTATCCCTTATCATCATTTTTTTACCATTGCAATGTCATTCTTATAGTCTACTGTCAGTGTGATGCTACTGTTACCAGTGATCAAGGTCAGTGATTACGATTCTTAACTTCTGGAAGTCCTTTAATCATTTAGACACTCGAGCTTTGACTATTCGATCGGTACGTATGATTAGTAAGTATCGATCCGAAAGGGTTCTAGATAATATGCAACAACTAAAATGGTTGTTTCGTATGTTGTCCATTTAAACTAATGCACTATTATGGCTTGCGATGCCTCTTAGGACTGAAGTTGTTTGACCAGAGCACTTCATAAAACAAGTCTGTTAACACATCAGCTTTTAATCTAAGTGCCGACTTAAGTTTTGAAGTTAAATGACACGATCACCGATCTAGTAGGAATTAGTGACTGGAGACCTTAATTGACATGGTTCAGAATATTGGTTCACCACGGTGTATCAATTCGTTCCTCGTGTTCAAAATCGTATCTTATTTCTTGTCATTTATCTTCCCTCCGTGACATCTGTCGTTCTTAACGTAAATATTTTTTCTGTTTATGTTTCATTACTCTGTGTGTTGTTTTTGAAGTGTTTTAAATTGAGTAGTTTGGCGTGTGGTGTTTTATTATTTATCTATTCGTTTATTACACTGACAACTCTAGTTTTTATAGACTCAGTATCACTCGTCGAATATCCAAAGGCCATCCTTTGCAATCCAACTCTATTTTCAACAGATTTTATTCAGTTTTCTCATTCAAATAACTCATTTCAGTGTGTTTTATTAGTTATTACCAAGTTGTTTACGTCTTAAACATGCTTTTAAACCAGTTACTTACATAGTTTCTTGTTTTCTAGGCTCAAGCCGAATTAAAGGAAAAATTTCGACTCCTCGAATCAAACCCTGAGATTTTGGCTTTATACAAAGAATTAGTTGTTAGTGGTATACTTAGCTCGGAAGAGTTTTGGGCTCGACCAGAATTTTCTCATAATAACTTTAATTCATCCCAGTGTCTGAATAATTCCACAGCTAATAACAAAGCTTTTGGAACTACTGGGACATCAGAAGCAACTCCTAACAATGCAAATATGTTATCTCATAATAATCCGTCAAATGGTCCTACTAGTCAGATTTCACGAAGTTTCCAGTTAGACGACCGGCCTCAAATTATTGGAGTCCCCAGTTGTCTTTTGAGCGATATCAAGCCTGAAGCAGATGGTGCCAATGGAATAAAATACAACCTTACTCACGAAACAATCAATGCAATATTCCGAGCCTACCCTACTGTACGTGATAAACATCGAGAAATGGTCCCTGATAAATTATCTGAAGCTGACTTCTGGATAAAGTTTTTTCAGTCTCATTATTTCCACCGGTAAGTTTTTGTTCTTGTTAAAATTGTACTTAACTCTTTAAATGTCAAGTCAGCAGTAATGAATTATTTCTTTTGTTTAATGATTTATTTACTGAAAGGCCTATAAAACCAATAAGGTGTATTGTGTAACACGAGTTGTATTTATTAAATTCGATTGATACATTTAAAAACAGTCAGCTGTCATCCAGTTTAAAAACTTCTAGGATGTTAGTAACTTTATGTGATCTAAAGACGTTCTATAAAGTAGCTGAACAAGTTTCATGCATGTGAAGAACTAGTATCCATTTCAGCAACTATTTCAATTAGTACGATAAACTTCGCCTTTCTGAAAATAGTCAGATTTATCCATGCAATAAATGTGTTTATTTGTCAATGTTTTAACGAGATTTCGCTATGCCTCTCATCGTACTCAAATCAAAAGGATATTCTAAGTTGCTACTTTCATTAGCATCACACGAAATGACATAACATAAAAAAACGTTGCATGTATCTGGAATAGTACGTCTAACGTATAAGAATGATCTGAGAGGCCATAGCTGAGTACGGTTACTGCCATCGGTTCGTTTGAAACACCGTTAAGGTGAGATGGAAATGTCATTTTTACCACCTCATTTAATAATTCATCGTATTATCTTCCACAACTGAAGAGTAGAATAGAAACCTATTAATATAATACACTTATCGCTGTCTCGCCCAGGGTGTTAGTGCACTGTAAACAGTTGGAGTGTGATTGCAGATGACCGAAACTGCCACACAGTATTTTTCGATGTTAACGTTAGTTGTTGCGAGATATTTATCAGCCGTGTTTTCTTTAGTCATATTCTCATTGATCATTGTGTTTTACTAACCACTTGCTTTAGTAAACCGAAATAAATGTCACAGATAATGTAACATTGATGGTCGATTGTCTTCTTGGTCTCTGTTTTTACGGCAAACTGATTACTTCAGTAAAGAAAATACAGATGAAACAGCTATTGGAGTTCTTTTCGAAGACACTCTACTTTCGGCACATCAGTGTTCAAGCATTAACACGGCGTTATTCTTAATATTAATAGGTTGTGAATGACCTGTGGCAAATTTGAGGTGTTTGTGTTATTACTGCTCTTTGATAAACATTCCTGATGGAAAAATATAAAACAAATCTCACTCAACATAGTTCAACCGGGATACCATTGAAAAAGCTAACCTGACAAACTTAGATATTTATCTTTCTAGATCATCCAACATTTGACATTCGACTTCTGTAAACCATGGCTCTCAAATTATCTGTTCTTTATGACCATCATGGTAACGGCGTCCATAATATCACTTAACAAGTTGTATTAATGATCGATCGGTAATATTTTACTAGTACAATCATTGTCATTTGGAATTTATGTTATTTATAGTGCTTTTCCTGTGGTTGTGGGATAGTTCGTTCGCCTCTCATTTTACGAACGTAGCTAATTTGATGAGGCTCGCTCACTAATTTTCACTTTGAAAATGCCTAAGTGTTCTGAAACCGTCTCTGATTTGTTTCATCTTTATGAACAGTCAAGTTGTAGAATATGACTAGTTTTTCATTTTGTCACTTCTGTTACTATTATAAATGTAGGTGCTAATAAATACTTCTATTTATTTAGTGACCGTGTTCACCTTCCGAAAAATGATATATTTGCTGATTGCGCTGGTATTGATGATAAACTTTTACTCAGCGATATACGGAAATCAAGAGTCAACCGAAATAATGTCCATCTTGATTTACCTAATCTTACCGATTACGATATAGGACAAGGTTATGGAATCGATCAAATATCTGGTCCGACAAAAATAAAGTCAGCTGACTCAGTCTCGCATCAGAGTGTAGAGAATACCTTGAACGAACCTGCAATCCCGAGCAATTTATCAGCAAATCAGTTGTTACTTCGTCGTTTCAACAATCATTCGATACTCGTTTTGAAATCTCTTAGTTCAAATGACTCATCTTCATCAATTAATAATGCATCTCAAAATCCGAAAGATGTGCTTAACTCTTGTCCTTTAAAAGACCGCGTGTACGTTAAAGAGCTGGTAGAAGATCAAAATCCTACAGAAATCCAGTTAGACCTAACTTGTGTAACTGACTATCTGGAGGGTCCTACCCCTAGCATAGCTGGTAAAGCTACAAAGTTAATGGATCCGTTATCAGTTACCCGGCAAACAGATACTTCGTTTTATGGATTACAACTAGAGCAGTCAGTAAAGAAATGTAAGAATTTGATGGTAGCTGCTTATCACATGGGGAAAAAGCCAGGCGTATCACTTTTAACTGCACTTGAATCTCAACAAGCACTAGCAGATGTCTCACCTGGTGGTTGTCTCATCGGTGGTAAACTTAATAGTGAACGCACGAAACCATGTGACTTAACTAGTGATCAATCATCCTTACGTTTGTTCGAACCAGGGAGAAACAGTCGTATTTCGAACTCTCCGAAAGTCTCTGATGAACACCATGCTGGTGACGATGTCGATCGTGGCCCGCCATTACTCACACCAGAACAGGTTAAAGATTTGTCACTTTTATATTCTAGTGCCGCTGAACTCTTAAGACACTTCTGGGCATGTTTCCCTGTAACAACCCCACAACTAGCTGATAAGTTAGATCGTGTTGCTGCCAGTCTCGTTCGTTTTCGTACAACCAAGGTAACCCACTTCGCCGCTGGTGTTGATCCATCGTTGAGGACTAAGTCAGACACATATTCTTCTGATTCATCTGAGCATCTACCTAACACAGGAAATTCTGGGCCTATTTCTTACCGTTCAAGTGTGACTAGTCACCTGGAATCGATGCTGGACTCCGCTCAAAAGAAGTATTCTGAATGGAAAACTCGGCATTCGTAATAATGTAGATATCTGTACAGATCAAATTTTTTAAGAATTTTGTTTGAAATTTTCTGTCTCCATTCCTGGTAATTCACTAATATAAATAATTAGTTTCGTGACATCATGCTAAACTGTATATATTTACTGTTCGGATATTATTTGAAAAATTAATTGACAGATTTTTCGTAACGACTTTTAGATTTCTTTGCTTTTTGGAGGTTCTTTTTATTAACTCTGGTAATGTGAATGGCGAAAATAAGTTAAGGGTAAAGTGATCCCATCGAAACAAAAGAGTAAATTTTGAGATGGAATCACTTCAGTTAAGTATCTTCATATTAAAGTGAGAAATAATACCAAACTCTTACTGTTTCAGAGATCCGCAAATTATGTTGGGTAAGAGTTTTCAGTGTTGTTAAGTGTACTACAATATCTTTAGTTTATTAAATCAAATATGAATAAAATATTGTTTAAATATCAAGGAGATTTTGCACCTTGTAGGTGTTACGAGAAATAACCGATTGTCAAACTTTCTCCTTCAGACACTTATTTTATTAGCGCTAACAAACAGGGTTATCATACTTAGGCCTTAGGGTATAAATATTCAGTGTTGAATATCAAGATAAGGTCAAACATCGATCTAATTTTAATCCATTCATACATAAGGAAATATGGTGTTCACATTTACAGATAGCTCAGACTATGGAGGGTTGTTTCTTATTATTATCAAGATATTTCGTAGTGAATAAGATATCTAATGATCTTTATAGTCTGTATCTACAGTTTTTAAATAAGTCTGGATCACAATGTGGCACATTTGAAAGTGTGAAGAATAATAGTAATCACTGAAAATGCCCAGTTAGGTAAAGCGGATACTTAAACTTGTTTTTACTTGCATTTTATGTTGCATACCAAATGAGATGTAAAGACAATGTCAGATGGCAGGACTTATCTTTAACAATAAAACGCTTCTGATCAACTGGTTATCAATACGTTTTCCACGATATTTCACTTCGTACGTATAATTTTCTCATCATTTCATTGAAAAGTTATTCGATATTAAATAAAATTAAAAATATTAGGCCACCGAAAATTGTTCAGTAAATTGAGATTTTGTATGATCCCAGCAAATTTTACAGCGCGTTTTAAATGTAAAAACGAACAAAAAATCCTGACCAGAGTCGACTCCCCCCTTTCCGGTTGCAAGACTTGTTAATTGTTCTTAGTATATCTGTTATTCAAGCGGACATGTCTCAGTTGTGGAGAAATAGAAATTAGACTGTTACTTGCATTACTCATACTTCAATAGGGTTACCAGACAACTTATGAATAAACCAGATACTGTGAATTGTTGAAAAATAACCATGTCTAGAGGGATTTCTCATCCTACCAACCACTCGGTTTTAAAGAAACTGGAAATGAGTAAACTAATATACGCTAACTTAAATTCTGATCATGAGAATACGTCTTAAGGCACTAGTGTTTTAGAATGTCGTGCATTCGACAAGCACAGCGCGCTTCTGAATGTTCTAAATCCTGTTATCGTCATCAGCAATGTCCTTTTGTTAGCGAGTCCTTATAGAGAATTTAGAGATATTAAAGGCTTTGAGTTTGGAATAGTAGCCTGGTTCCAAAGGTTTTCTCAGTCAGTTAATTATTACAAAACCAAATCCCAATTCTAATGAATCAAGTTATTATGGGTTTTGTTGCACATAGATTAGCCTCGTTGTCCACAAGAATACAAAATATCAAGATGCAAGTCTTTCCTATGTAGTTTGCCACTTTTAACAGTCTTGATAATGTGGGATCGGGTTGATCTGGAATATTAGGATAATACTTATCAGATTGTGATTTAAGTATCTTCTACTTCATCCTTTCGTAGAACACTGTGCTTGATCACATTAAATGGCTTCGGTTGTACACGTCCTCAAATATTATCGTCAAACAAGACAACCAGTGAAGCTATCAACTGTATTCGATTTTGCTAATTTTGGAATCAAGTCTTATGAATGAGGTCAAAGCTCCCAACTACAGACTTGTAGATTAAAGTAAACTGCCGTTCTAAGAATCGGGATAATTTTACTGAAACAATATCACCCTTTAGTTGGGTACGTGAATGCTATATTATCCAATTAGTCTGTGTTGATCCGAAGTCTTTGCTGTTGAACACATCTCCAGAGTGAATGTCCTCCACTCATCGACATTTTTAGTTAAATTATTGGTTGTTTTGACATCTTACCAGCAATCGATTTGCATTCGTAAAGAGATAATAGTTCCTCACGTTAAAGTTATTTCTTATATTATTGTTAAATTATATTCCACGTTTAACCTTTTCACTGTTAATTTAGAATACGGGTTTTTTATTGTCGACCGATCGTTTTATAGCGAATCGCTATTCACTTAATTGCAACCTATGTGCTATGGATTCTCTCATTACGACCTAGCTACCCTTATTGCCTAGTATTCTTAGACATAGCTCACTCTACAAGGTCCCAAATTAGATCACGGTTAGACAAGAGCGTAAATATATCACAAATGATAAGTTGGGATGGAAGCAGTAATCACAATGAGAAAATTAGTATATTTATAATCTTGACATAAGGTGCTACTCTTCTACAAGCATATTCTAGTGCTGATTTGCTAAGAAATAGCCATTCGGCAAGCCCCAACAGTCCTACACGGAACGTGCATTAATCCCGCTAACAGGTCTGAGCGAGTTCTTTGGATCTGCAACCGCACGATTGTTCTGTACTTTCAATTTGTCCACTCTTCGCTTTCACAGAAACTGGCCTATCTGCTCAAGGGGTTTTTATTTCAAAGGTACCAACGGAACATATGGGTATCCTATTTCGGGTCTCGATACTTGTGATAGAAGTTGGTTGGCATGGCTCAAAAAAACTTCTGAGACAACTGAAACCTAACCACACTTCCTTAAATTTCCGCGATCCGACCAACTATTAATGTGGGATGTTTGTCAAGATAGTCCTTAGCAAGTATTTTTGACCCACAGTGAACAAACGTCTTTACGCTTCATGATGTCGATTGGATCGGGCGACAGATATCTAAATGTGTTCGCATTTTTCTACCAAGTAAAATCTTTGCTAGAGAGACCGCGGTAATTGTCTAAAGACTCGGGGTAGAACGATAGACAACCAGGGTCCCCTTTAAAACCTCTCCTGTGGTACCTCTCTGTTGTCTATAATGTAGTCTGGGTTCATTCGAGATTTTATTAGGTTTCCTAATTTTTTATTCTGATTCCCATTTTCTTCATTGTGGAATTCGGAATTGCCTAAAGTCATTATTAGCATGTAAATTATTAGAATCGGAACTGAAACTATATATGTCTGAAGTTTGAAAACATCTATTGTGTCAAGATTGGTTGTAGAATGATTAGAATTAAAACTGAGGTGGCTTTATTTACTAGTTATCGCCAAGATTACATGTCTACTGTGAATGGAGTAGTCATTTCAATCAACAAAATCGTCCGATTACCCATACTCCGAATTCCAATTCCTGTGGATGAACGACAGCTATTTCTTCAGTGAAACTGTACTTTTGATGACGTTCTGTTCACTAAATGACCTCGAAAGATCAGGGATTTGAAAAGCTGAACTGGACTTTTGTGGGCTCGTGAACGCCGCGTTTTACGATACTGAACTAAATTACTTGCACTTGCTGATGTAGTGGTACTGGTAAAAGTGCGGCCGAGGTTTTCTGCTGAACCATTGAACTAAGGATGTCGTGGAGCCATAGGCAGTGGGCTCCATTATCAGTTACTGATACATGGCGTATCCCTTCACTACTAAATATCCTCCACATTGCTCTTTGGCTAAACTTATTATTAATCAATAACTTGAAGTGTGGTGTAATACCGCGGTTGACTATGATCACCACTACAATATGAATATGCTGGTCTACAGTGAAGGAGACAATGTTATTTTGCTTCCATTACTTATTTTTACCTAAAGTATGTATGTATATATAATATTCATGTACTTTAAATACGTTGATATAGAGATGTCGATTGGTATTGGAAATAACAAAGAATTTAGATTTATAAAAGCAAATAGAATCGAATAAACAAAAATGTTATTGTTTACCTTTATAAAATTGAAAATAATACCAAAGCTAGATGTGAATGGGTTTTCATGAATCAGAAAAAGTCATAGACTTATTCCTAAAAACAAAAGTGTTGACCATGTTTCAAATACCAGGTAAAATTTTGGTTTGGTTATTGAACCGAAAAGTAGGTAGAAAGTGTTAACTAAATTCATAATAATCTTCCTGAGGTTAAATAGAACCAGTAGAAGAATCATTGACTACCATGTTTTTCACAATAAAATTCTCAGTATTCCAGAAAGTGAATCATGATGAGATGAAATTCAACCTATGACAATTTTAAGATCTGTTAGGTTAATGAGATTATTTACCACACTAGTATTAATTACTCAATTTTATCTAGTCCAAGTAATGTATATTTAAAATTCTGTGACAAACGTGTAGCAATCGTTTCACTGGTCATTTACCATAGGTACAGTTTGCATACGATCTGTAATTGTAACGGGTCTGTCAAGAGATTCATCTACTTTGTTAAGTGACATAGCTTCGCACTAATCTTATGATATTTGGGAAACACGTTTATTTAGTAATTTATTATTAAACTTAACAATACAGATTATAAATGAATTTCCAAACTACTTCGGCCAGTAAAATATTTGTTAAACTGACATCGTAGATTGGGATGGATTCATTACAGTTTTTTATGGTTCGGCTTTTCCACATATTTAATACAAATTGATTGAAGTTGAGAATCTGTCTCATTGGAAGCTAACCTAGTAGTACAATTGTTAGGCGACCACCATGGAGGGGTCGCGCGTGGGCACTGCCGAAAAACGCGAATATTAAGGGGATATAGTCATCCAACCCACTATAGTTTTCAACAGTACCTGAAACGAGGCTAATCTGGACAAATTCCTACATAAGTATTAACTTGTATGGAGTATCCATCTTGTAAAAATGTCTATAAAAACAATTTCGACCTATTTAGGATCGTAATAATAAATATAGAGTATGATGCAATTAATTACATAGAATATCCGTTAACCGCTATTAGTTTAGTAAACGAATCACTAGGATGTTCACAGTAATAATAATAATTCTTAATGTACAAGTTGTAGAGGTCAGAAATTCAAAAAAATTATTATCGCAACTGGATAGAACGAGGAATGTGTTATCAAAAAAGACATCTACGCATTTATTTAACATTTTCTGTCAACAGAAGATTTA